GCCGCCCAAGAAACGGCGCGTGCACGCTGGTTTTCCATCCTCCAGAAAACTTTTTGACAAGTGGCGGTCGGCTCAGCTGAAGCTGAGGAGGCGTCACCTCATGAGTGAGTTGTTTTCAGTCTTTTTGTTTGTTTGTTTGTTTCCCCCCCCCGCCCCTCCTCCTTTGTCGCCCAGAATGATGCAGGGTGCATTTTGCTCTGGTCAAGCCATATTTATTTCTGTGCCCTAGCCAAATGGAGGAAGGAAAAGCCCACATTGGACCAGGTCCAGAGATGTCTGTCACGGTCCAAGTGGAACAAGAACTGTGTTCCGGCAGGGGATGTGGTCAGGCTCTGGGCACCTCCCCTTCCAACTGGCCAGGAGGAGACGGACGTCGCCCGGTACGTCAGTGAGCAGAGCTGGGCCGGCCTGGTAGTCGCACAGAGCCAGAGACCCGGAGCTGGAAGAGGTGAGTTGATTTTGCAACACATTTTTAAATGTGCTCGTTAAGCACCATTAACAAAATCTGCTTTAAAAAAAGCACAATTTTAAAAAGAAATTTAAAAAAAAAGTTTTTTTTTTTTAAACACCTTTTTTAAAAAGCTCTTTTAAAATGGCTTTGGCGAGGGTCGTTTATATCACCGTGTTATCGTTGTAGCAGCCACCGTGTGTACTGTTGAGAGGAGGGGAGAGAGGAAAGATTAATTTTAACACCTTTCAATTTACTTTGACAGGGGTCTTTGCGACCAGAGACTTCAGCAAGGGCTCTGTGCTGTGCGACTACCACGGGCGGCTCGTCAGCGCGAGACAGGGCCGTCGGATCCTCGCCAACCTCAAGGAGGCCGAGGGCTGCTACGTCTTCTTTTTCAAGTTGGCCGAGCAGAACCTCTGCGTTGACGCCCAGCCGGAACACTGCTGCTGCCATCCGGACATTCCCACGTTTGGCCGGTTGGTTAACCACTCGGCCAAGAGCAGCAACTCCAAGTGCGTGGTGGCAAACCGGCCGGGGCTGGGGCAGCCGACAGTCCTCATCACAGCAACGAGAGACATTGCAGCCGGAGAGGAGGTCCTGATGGACTACGGGGTCAGGAGAAGGTCATTCGGAGGAGAAGGGATGGACCTTTTTTGGTTAGATGAGTGAGCTGGACTCCATGTTTTTTTGTTTGTTTTATTTCCCTTGGAATTTTTTTCTTTGTAAATTGTTTATCATTTATAATTGAGTTTTTTCATGAAGATTTAAAGTTGTTATTTTTGTAAATATATGCTGTTGTTGTTGTAAATAGTTGTAAATAGTTATTGTTCTAAATAGTTCTCCTCTCCTCGGGCTGCCACCTTATCGTGGTGGAGGGGTTTCAGTGTCCCAATGATCCTAGGAGCTATGCTGTCTGGGGCTTTATGCCCCTGGTAGGGCAGACAGGTCCTAGGTGAGGAACCAGACAAAGCGCAGCCCGAAGACCCCTTATGATGCATGAAAACTTTGGATCTGGCGTTCCTTCGCCTGGACGTGGGTCACCGGGGCCCCCCTCTGGAGCCAGGCCTGGAGGTGGGGCATGATGGCGAGCGCCTGGTGGCCAGGCTTTTACTCTGTGAGCCCGGCCGGGTTCAGCCCAAAGAGGAGACGTGGGTCCCCCTTCCAATGGGCTCACCACCTGTCGGAGGGGCCAAAGG